GATTTCATCAAAAATATCTTAAATTGTGTTCCGAAGATGAACCGAAGGTCTTACGGGTTTCGAACAACACGAGGGTGAGTAATTAATGACAGAATTTTCATTTTTGGGTGAACTAACCCTTTAACAATCCATTTGTGCTGGGACAACATAAGTAATTTTTATTGTGTTGATAGGGAGAGTAATTGTGGAAATACATTTTAGAAAATAGTGGATTTATTAGCGTTCAGTAGGGATGGGAAGATTCCCCGATTCGCTCGGTGCATCGGCATAGGGCTGGAAGGGCCATGGTCTTTCTCCTTCTCTCTTGCTCCCCTTCTCGCTTCGAAAATGTTCCTCACATTCCCGGCAATCTGTCGTGCTGCATCTGTCCCATACGGCTGAAAGGTCAGAAAAGTTCAGCCTCTTTTACACTTAACAAAATTATATTTGCTGCTTGTTCAGTTTACTTAATTAAAATGAGCTTATGTAACACAATTCTTGAACATTCTGTCAAAACTCAGTTTCATTGCATTCAATCCACTTAAAGGCATAGTCCACCCAAAAAATAGAATTGTACTCACTTTCATGTCATTCCAAATCTGTATGTAAAAGAAGATATTTTGAAGAAAGTTGGTAACCAGTTTTAGTTCCCACTGACAAAAATACAATGCAAGTTAATGGGAACCAAAACTGTTTGGTTAGCAACATTATTCAAAATATCTTCTTTTACATTCCACAGAAGACAACATTTGGAATGACAGTGAGGGTAAATAAATGATGACTGAATTGTCTTTTCTTTTTTTTGAGTGGACTGTCCCTTTAAATATGTAAAATGGCAGTTAAAGGTTTAGTTCACCCAAAAATGAAAATTCTGTCATTAATTACTCACAATTTAAGATATTTTTGATGAAATCTGAGGGCTCTCTGACCCTCCCATAGACAGCAAAGTAACTACCACGTTGCATCACCACAACACTACAGAGACCCAAGGAAAAGCAGGGATTAAAGTCCAAAACCTGATTTGAAATAACCTAACAAATCAATCTGGGCTAAAGCGGTTCCATTAAAGACAAATTAAGTTCACACAATCTCACTAATTTGTGCACGTTTGTTCTTAAACAGACCTTAATGTCGATCATGGATCAAATCGATCCACAATGACAAACAGCGAATATATCTGTGCTGTTTAATCGTTCAGTGTTCTAACATTTGTAAATTTACAAGAGTTCATTAAGAAAAAGTTATTTTAAATATTAATATTTCACAATATTACTGTTTTTAAAATTAACATTTTTGATCGAATAAATCACTTACAGACTTCTTTCATAAACGTAAAAATCTTTTCAACCACAAATTTTGATATACTGTGTATAATTTAGGGTTTAAGGACAAAGATTTAGACAGTCTCTGGAGGTAATATTTGGCAATGCTCAGACAGAGTATTAAGTGTTATTTTATGTGTTTTTGAAAAATATTAGTAAATAGAGGATTTGTTAGTATTCAGTGTTCTAGTATTTGTAGAATTACTTTTACATGTCTAATTTTAATGGTAGTTGCTTAGTTTAGTTAGGTTTTTATTATACAAGGTAGTTGAGTTGAGTCTACATGTTCATTTTATGTTTTTGAAAACACAACATACTGATTTTTCCCCAAACCAGTTAAGTGCAAACTCCACCCCACAGTCGACTTCATTGGTGAACTACATCACGGTAACCTGTCAAGAAAAAATCATGGATTCAGTTCAGAGTTCAGAAAAATCACGGATGGAATCTGATCGCGACAAACAGAAATGCTACTGTAACAGGATGTTCTACCAATGCTATACTACGTTTAAGGTTAGAGGTTAGTAGTTGTTTTAGCACTGTGTAGACAATCAGCACTGTGATTGAACTGACCAATAAATAAACAGCTGCGGGGCAGCATCTGCGCTTAAAAAAAAAATCACACAAAAATCTCAACCGCTGTCCACACTTGAAACAAAGTTAAGCCAAATAATGATTTTTTTTTGTTTTTTTTGTAGATGCTTTATTTTGCCAGTTTAACATTTTGTAACTGTCCAAATATTCATAACATTTTCGGAAGCCAATCTGATGCATCTACAATATTAATGCATCTGAATTTAATTTCCAAAATGATTCACCATCCTTCCTTAATGAGGGCAAATTTTGTCGTCGTCAACACAAAACTCAAAATCACACAAAAATCTCAACCGCTGTCCACACTTGACACAAGTTAAGCCAAATAATGATTTTTTTTTGTTTTTTTTGTAGATGCTTTTTTTGCCAGTTTAACATTTTGTAACTGTCCAAATATTCATAACATTTTCGGAAGCCAATCTGATGCATCTACAATATTAATGCATCTGAATTTAATTTCCAAAATGATTCACCATCCTTCCTTAATGAGGGCAAATTTTGTCGTCGTCAACACAAAACTCAGCTAATTATCTTGCACGCTGCTGGGAAGGCTGATAAAGACATCATTGATCGGAACAACAACCCACCGCACTGTCACTTTGTAGAATATGCCATGATGCTTTTTACGTTTGTATCTTTAGAGGCTGTGTGTGAGAAATGACAGATTTGATAGGGCTGTGCTTGTCTTTTTGTCATGCAGGGCGGACATGACTAATCTAAGCCTTCCATCTGGTTAAAGACATGGCCCCTGCTGTCGCCTGTATTTCCCATGAATCCTCACTGCTCCTCTCCACATGGAGACACGTCCGGAAAGGTCAAAGGTCAACCCCGTGACCTGCAGAGAGGCATTGCTCCTTCTGCTCAGAGGTCACGTCCCCTCTGTATCCCACCATAGCCTGAAAGATGTCAAAACACACCTCTGCACGGGTTTTAATATCTTACAAGAAAAGGTGGAGTGCATGGTGTGTGTATATATATTTATATACATATAATAGAAATATTAACATATGTACAATACACTGCCTTTCAAAAGTTTGGGGTCAGTATGCTTTTTTATTTTTTTCTTAAAGAAATTAATACTTTTGCTCAGCAAGGACACATTAAAATCCTGAAAAAATATGCATCACTGTTTATTAAGCAGCACATGCATTTTCAACATTGATAATAACAAGAAATGTTTCATGAGCAGCAAATCAGCATAGCATTATAATGATTTCCGAAGGATCATGTGACACTGAAAACTGGAGAAATGGCTGCTGACAATTCAGCTTTGCCATCACCAGAATAAATTACATTTAAAAAAAAAGGTTGTGTTATTGATAAATAGCATTCATTTGAGTATTAATTTCCCTCTTGCACAGACTCCATTGGCACCAGTCTTTTGTTCATATTCAACTCAGGTTCATGAGTAAGATTTTTTTGTGCATTTTGCAGAGACTTGAAGTTTGTAAGGTAGCTTCAAAAGACTAAAACAATTATTTTAGGATTAGTATGGTTTCTATTGTACTTCCAATACAAGTCATTTACAGTGGGCATAGAAAAGAATCACCCCCCTTTAAAATGATCACATTTTGTTGCTTTGCAGCCTGAAATGAAATGAAGACGGACCCATTTTTGATTTAGGCAAGGCAAGGCAAGTTTATTTATATAGCACATTTCATACACAATGGTAATTCAAAGTGCTTTACATAAAAGAAAAGAAAATAATAATAAAAAAATAATCACAACAATAAAACAAGGAATTTAAAAACTTTGAAAATGATTTAAAAATTGATTTAAGAGGTTTAAAATGAATTTAAAACAGTTAAAAATAGGAAAT